GTCATCTCCCTTGCAGCTATGTATGATTGGCCTCTATATCAGCTAGATATCAAAAATGCCTTTTTGCATGGTGATTTGCTCGAGGTCTACATGGAGCAACCACCAAGGTTTGTTGCTCAGGGGGAGGATGGTAAGGTATGCAAACTTAAGAAGGCTATATATGGACTTAAACAGTCCCCTCAAGCATGGTTTGGTAGGTTCAATGAGGTGGTTAAGAAGTTTGGTATGAAACAGTGCCAAGTTGATCACTTTGTCTTCAGTCATGACTCTCCGACAGGCAAAATACTACTGGTGGTGTATGTAGATGATATCATTGTGACTGGAATGATAAAATGGGCATTGACAGATTGAAGGCATTCCTACAGGAACACTTTTAGACAAAGGACCTTGGCAAATTGAAATACTTTTTGGGCATAGAGGTAGCAAGATCTAAGCATGGCATTAATTTGTGTCCAAGGAAATATGTGCTTGATTTACTGGAATAAACAGGTTTGTTGGGTACTTTGTTGGGTACTAAACCGACTGAGACACCTATGGAAACAAATACAAGGCTGAGCAGTGATATAAGTGAAGTATTTGAAGACCCTGGCAGATACCGACGACTTGTAGGCAAACTAAACTACCTAACCATTACTCGCCCAGATATTTCATTTGCGGTTAGTGTGGTGAGTCAGTTCATGCAGAAACCTTTGGTCCCACATTGGAATGCAGTGCTAAGGATTGTGAGGTACTTGAAAGGAGCTCCTGGTCGTGGTTTGCTGTACAAAAGTGGCGAAAAACTGGAAGTAGAAGGATACACCGATGCTGATTGGGCAGGTTCTATGTCTGATAGACGGTCTACCACAGGCTATTGCACCTTTCTGGGGAGTAACCTGGTAACATGGAAAAGTAAGAAGCAAACAGTTGTGGCAAGAAGCAGTGCAGAAGTAGAATATAGGGCCATGGCACATACTGCTTGTGAATTAGTGTGGTTAAGGAACCTTCTACAGGAGATAGGATATGACATCAGTACTCCAATGAAACTCTATTGTGACGATCAGGCAGCGGTTCATATCTCTTTCAATCCAGTGTTTCATGAAAGAACCAAGCACATCGAAGTTGACTGTCATTTTGTGAGAGAGAAGGTGCTGAATGGAGTGATAGAGACTGCATATGTTAATACGGGAAACCAGTGGGCAGACTTGTTTATAAAAGGTTTGAGTCGAGGGAGAGTGGACTACATATGTAACAAGCTGGGATTATATGATATATACTCACCAGCTTGAAGGGGAGTGTTAGTGAAGGGGTATTTCGGTCTTTATACCTGTTGAGAATGTTGATGTGTACTATTATGTTAGTTCGAGTGCCTCTTACTTAAATAAGGGCACTTATGTCTTTTCCAATTATATTAATAATATAATAACAGGTCTGGCCGAAATTAGGGTTGACTTTTTCCTAATTCGAACCAGACATTTTCTCTTCTTCCTCTTTCTTCCTTCTTCTTTCCTCTCTTCCTTCTTGATGTTTACTTTACTTTTCAGCTAACAAACAAAACAAACTTCTAGGACAGGCCGAACTTCAACATCATACTAAGGGATTTGACAAGTGCCATTCCCAAAACGAAGATTTCCTTTACTGGAGTAGAAAAGCAAAAACTTCTTCTGAAAGAAAGGATATTCACTTGGAATATCCTTATAAAGTTACCATTTGGTCTGCAATCCTAAAGTTACCACTTCGAATATCCTATAAAGTTACCAAATGGTCCTCTGCACAAAGAGATTCTATAGATCAGACACATGTTAGGGACCCCCAAAAAAGCCTAATTCTCAAAAAAAAAGAAGAAATTCCTTCCCTCTAAAGCAGTTTAGAGTGGAAAACCAGTTCTTAAGCAATGTTCAAAAGTCCAACCATTCCTCAATTGCCAAATAGCCCATAAGCCTACAAGAGGCATTGTTGCCCAGCTTTTTTTTAGATCAATAATTGTTGCCAGTTGCCCAACTATTCACTTTATGATTTTTAATTAATGAAAACTAATGAAGGATTAGATGCAAAATTAAGTTTAAGGACAAATACCTTAGAAACAAGAGGTTTTAAAATAATTAGGACTAAAACAGAATATGTGATACGTAAAAGAACAACCCAGTAGATGATCAAAAAAAAAAAGAGCATCCCAGTGCATGAGGCTCCCACCAATGCGAGGTCTAGGGAGGGACAGATGTATGCAGCCTTACCCCTGCACATACAGAGAGGTTATTTCCAAGATTTGCAGGTCACCCAGGTCGCAATGGAGCAGCTCAGCCTTTGTGCCAAGGCCCACCCTCAGAATATGTGATATGTAAATTTAATAATAATAGAAGTGGAAATCATGATACATTTAGGATTGGAGACCAAGAGATAATTCAATGTCTTTTTCTGCTACCTTAGTTCATTAATTCATAACAAGGGAGAGAATGAGGAGGATGTTGCCCATAATAGAGCAGGATGGGCAAAATAGAGGAGTGCATCCTGAACCTTATGTGATAGCCAAATACTACTTAGATTAAAAAGGAAAATGCTATTAAACAGTTGTAAAGCCAGCTATGCTGTATGGAGCAATGCTGGGCAGTCAAGAAACTACATGTCCAAAAAAATAGTGCAGCAGAAATGCATATTCTGAGATGAATGAATGGAAAAGCCAGAAAGGACAGCTAGTGATATGATCATTTGAAAGAATCTGTGAGTAGCTCCAATAGGTGATAATATAAGAGAAGCTAGACTAAGATGGTTCAATAACATGCAAAGAAGACCTTTGACAGGACCCTATAAGAAGAATGATCTGTTGCAAGTTAAAGTGACTAGAAGGGGTAGAAGTAGACCAAAAAGGACATGGGTAAAAGTAGCAAGAAATGATTTAAGCACTAATAATTTAACAATGGATATGGCATATGATGAAAGGAATTTCACGATTTCACATGGACATAAAATGTATCTTGATTTGCAACAATGTAGATTGATTTTACCAAGAAGTACCCAAGTATTGGTATTGTATCATTTTCACCACTAATATATACATTTTACACTTGACATTCTAACCTATAATATTGTTGACAAATGACATTTGACCAAGAGAACCTCCAAAAGTTACATCAGATTTAACTGGAAATTGAATTATTTATGTGCATATCTCTACAAATGAGGATTGAAATACAAAAAGGAAATAATTTTTTTTATTGGAAATGGAAACTTCATTAAAGAAAATTCAAGTTACAACTGTCAACCCCTAGAGTAGGGTGTTGAACCCAAGAAAACAATTTAATTATAAACAAAGCTCAAAACATGTTCTCCCTAACAGTCCCTTGTTTTTCTCATGTATCTGCTAACCCCATTAGCAGACCTTCTTGTCCACTTGAAACAAGCACCAATCTCCCTTGTTATGCTGAGTATTTCCCTTTTTTTTTGATAGATAAAAATTCATTAGATTTCATTAGAAGCAAAGGATAAAGAGTTTGTTACAAGCATCCCAGTATGAGGCATGAGGTACAGCCTCACTCATTAATACAGAAACAACATAAAGTTACAAATGGTCCCAGTACAACTGATCCCTAGTTACTCCTTGCTTAGCTAGAGAATCAGCAAAAGCATTTGCCTCCCTTCCCACCCATTGTATAATTACATTCATCTGCTCAGTTATCCGTTTGAATTTCTTCATTGTATTTTCTAAATTCAGCTTTTGAAAAACCTCACCTTAAAATATCAAATGAATGCATCATAAAAATTATTCAGATAGTAAATGAAGGCATGAAGATTAGTTGCATCATGCATCCAAGTTCAAGCCAGAGCAGCATGAACATGTTGAAGAGTGGCTGAAGGACATTTAATTCATGATAAACATGAGTAGGACAACTCTTCGAGTGAACAAATACCAGTAGAAAAGGAGGATTTCCATTTAAATTAGGTCCACAGAACAAGTATCTGTGAAACAGTAATATCATTGCATTGTTGTGTTTTCCTTCTATAAAGTATATCATTTTAACATGACAAATATAGCATATAACTAGATTCATCAAACCTGCAACTTTGAATGCATTCCACATCACTTCTTCCTGTTCAGCAATGCCAAATAGGCAAAGTGTTGCAGCATGAACACCAAATATTTGCCACAACAGCTTTCCAGTATTGTTTTGCCGTAGAAAATCCTGTAGGACAGTTGATGTTACCTGAAAATTATATGCATATATGGAACATGTTTAAGAAATGGGTAAAAGATTCAAACCTTTGGATGCATATACAACCAGAACCGAATTCCATTACACAGAGAGCAGGGTGTGACTTTTGAACACATACAATCTTCCATAGCAAGCCAACACTACAACATAGTTAATATAACTAAAGTCAATAACAACACTACTGGTATTAATATTACTATTATTTTTCATATAATGACACTTCAACACCAATTCTTCATTATGTTAGCAAGAAACACTTAACCAAGGATAAAAAAAATAAGAGGCCCATTATATATTTTATCTTAATATTAGAATAGATGTATACCTTCTGACAAAGATAACCCCTACTTCCAAGCAAACGACATGCTATCTGTCGAGCTGTGAAGAATTGGAGCTTTTTTTCAGGATCAGCAAGAGCCTGATATGTTGCTCTATGTTTTTTATCCTCTTTAACTTTGAAATCTCCCTGAAATTACACTGTAAGATCAGACGAAGAATATTTTCTGGCCAAGAGTACCATACCTATATGATCTAGAATTGTTAACATTTAACACGCGTGTGTGTTATAATAAATGCATTTACACTCTTTTTCTTTCACACACATACACAAAAAAGAGTGAAAGAAAAGAGGTTAATAAACTGTAAAATAATTTACAATAAATGCGATTACTTGGAACAACCATATGCTACCAAACTATTCTACGTGTAGCTCTCCTTATCCTAAGACTTGACAACATGCATAGTGACCCTCCATACAAACTCCCTAACTCAATCCTAGGCCAGATGTCATTCTTATATGTACTATAAAGCAAGCATGCACAATCATCTCCAATCTGGACAAACTTCCCAAGACAATTTTGGGCCCAATGCAATCCTTAGATGTAAGACTTGACCAAATCAAAATTCTGTAAGTCAGGCATGACATGCTGTGTCAATGCAACATTGCAACATTTGTATAATGTTTTCCATGAATCGTGATAATATATATGATAGGAGAGCCAAAATCTGCTACTAAAAGGAGGATTCTGCTGTGGGCTTCATGTCATTCATAGGATTAACAGGCTCATAAATCTCATATATGTCATAAAAAACCTTAGAAATGTAAAAGTCTAGCCCTCTCCTAATCTTTTTTCCATTGTCACTTCGAAATAACTGAATCATAGCAGGCAATCGTCTATTAACTTTAACTTCATCAACACAGGCATTCAGTCACACCATGGTATTCAAGAAATCAGAATAAATTAAATGTCCTTTGACACTCTATAAACTGAACGCCAAATAATTATTTAAACGAGCGCCATAGGAGACACCTACCCACTAAATGAAAGAAACAGTAATAAATACCTCCAGAAAAGAAACCCTTTACATGAAAAGTTTTTTGAAGTAAAACAAACCCTAAATCTAAGGAATGGCATTCACTCATTTTATACAATGCATGGCATTCCCTAATACTAGCAAGAAAAATAACATCAAAGATAATGACAATTCCTCCATTAACCCTTCCCCCAGTCTAGGAAAAACAAATCACATCAACACCCATCTCAAATTTCGTATTGAAATATCGGAGAAAGAGAGTGGGGATGGGAAATAAGAAACAACTTAAAAATCGAACAAAGCGCGTACTGTTTTATTTTCCACTCTTTTACCTGAAGCTTCCCTCCATTGCCACCGAAGCTCATCCGAGCATCCATGTCCTTCTCTAAGGCCTTCAAGTCCTCAACCACCTCCTTGACCTTCATGGGTATCTGAGAATACGTACCCCAACCTTGCCATTCTTCCTGGGTAATAGTGGCGTCATGGCTGTCTCCTTTCAAAGTTTCCCCGGGAGGCGAAGAAGAAGAAGACCTCGAAGAGGAACCACGAACTACCCTAGGTCGACAATCCATCTTCGTTCTGTTTCCAGCTACTAAGGGTGATGCAGAACCCTTCAAGCTAAAGGCGCGAGCTGCGGAGAGCATCTCACCCTGCGCCTTTGCGACGGTGCAGATCGCCCTTTGTGTTAGGAATTAGGACAATGAGAGCATCCGCCGCGACCCGCGAGTGACTCATTCTGTGACAAGACCCCCTGTACTATGTTTTGCGACAAAAACCCCCTTCCATTAACCTTCTGTCCAAAAAGATGAGAAATTTGTCATTACAATATTTTTAATTCCCATACTATCCTTATAATAATTATTTAGACAATTTTAATCCTCTTTTCGTGTTTTATACGTTTTCTCACCTTATTTCTCCTCCATTACCGAGCCGGGAGTTACAATAGCAAAGGATATCTCCTTCACGAGTTTCAGCCACACGGATTTCTCCTTCACGAGTTTCAGTCGCAAATTCCGAATTACAGTAGCAAGGGTCGTCTCCCTCACAAGTTTCAGTCGCACGAGATTTCTCCCTCACGAGTTTCAGTTGCAAGGGAGATGTACAGATCAATATGTTATTGTTGAGTGTAGTGTGTACTGTGTACAAATCAATATCTTGAAATTAATTAGTTACCATTCTTCCTTCCCTCCAATGGGCAGCTTTAGACTCAACTAGTTTTGCGCTTTCATGGGGGTTTTCGCCCATTGAGAAGGATTAGAATCCTCAGCATTGATTGAAACTCCGAATCCCGTAATGGGTTCTCGGTTTCAGCTTCTGGTTGGTTTTTTGTATTTACAGTTCGATAACAGTGGTGTCATAGAATGTATCAGGAGGTGGAACTATTGAAGGTAGTGTCTTAATTAATGGAAGCGCTTCCATTGGGAGGATAGACAATGTTTTTATTTGTGCCACAATGGACTGGTGACCACCAGAGAAATGTGACTATGGGACTTGCAGTTGGAGTCATGCTTCTATGCTAAATCCGGCAAGTTCTATCTACTGGCTATCAATTTCATTTTCCATCTAAATTTCATGATATCGTTTAACTGGAATTGGGCTAGAAATTTCATTAATCTATAGTTCCTGTTATCAAATCCCATACCCTGTTTAATATGGGTTTCTCAATCCGTTTTTCTCTCCCCTCTTTGGTTTTTATTCCTGGTAAGATTGTTCTTTTCTACCTCATTTTTCTGGTTTTATGGATCAGGATGTTAGAAATCATAATATTTGACTTGGGTTTGGTTTTCAAAATATGATGATCTGCTCTTTTTCCTTTCGTGAAAGTAAAAAAAAAAAAAAAAAAAAAAAAAAAAAAAAAAAGTTGATATAAGTTATTAAATGAATTCTGAGTTTGATGGTTTTCTGAAATCTGCATATTTCTTCTGCTCTTTACAGGATCTTAACAACACAGTTTTGTTAAATGCAGTGAAAGGTACAGAATTCTGATAGTACTTAAGAAACACTTTCTGATGATTGAATTTATTAATTTTGTTCCTCGTTCTTTATGAAAATCTGAAGTAGAACTCTTCCAATCTTTTTGCAGCCTTTTCACATTTGAAACTTAGATTAGGAGGCACCTTGCAAGATAAGGTCATATATGACACAGGAAGCCCTCCACAACCCTGCACCCAGTTCGTTAAAAACAGTTCTGAGTTGTTTGGCTTCATGGGATGAACTGAACAATTTCTTCAAAAAGGCTGGGTAAGACGATTTACCTTACTGTTTTATTATTCCTAGACCATAGATCCATTTTCTTCTATAATTATCTTTACAATGCACTTCTGTTTTTTTTCATAAACAATTTCTTTTGCAGGACCAGATATCCATTTCCTAGGTTAAATAGGTTTTAAGAAAAAAAAAAGGGCAAAAAAAAAAGAAATTTGAAAAAGTTTAGTGAGGTATTTTAGTAATTTAACGCTTTTCGTCATTTGACTTAACGGCCAAGGGGATCTTTGTTTAATGGCTAAAGTTCAGGGGGGTCTTTGTTGCAAAAAAAAATGTACAGGGGGACTTTGTCACTAGCCCCATAGTACAAGGGGTCTTTATAATTTTTAGTTTTTAAAATTCACATCATTTTCGAAAAAAAAAAAAGAAAATTCTGAATTTCTGATCAGCAACTTCTACTGCTATGTTTGATTGCAATACAAACGCAAATTTGTACATTACATATTTACCCTTTTTTCGGTTCATGAATGCAAATAAGGTTCAGATTTTAAACTGTTTTTATACTCATCTTGTTTGTTTGAAATCAGTGCTAAGTGTGAACGTCATCATTAAATGCTCCAATGCCTTAACTTCAGTTAAAAAATTGATTATCAAAAGAATACAAAATTGTATCCAAAAAAATAGATACAGTAATTCTCTCTTTTCAGAGTATAGAAATGTCAAAAAATACATTTTTAGTATGATAATCATTACTTTTTTACATGTCAAGCAAATGCAAACTGCAGTACATAAATACCCCTAAACTCCATTTGTTTGCGATGCAAAAACCGAATCAGGGCATTTATGTATACCCCAATTCAGATTTGTGAGCATTTGCTTGCCATACACAAACGTGTCAGTTCAGATAGCAAAAATGTTTTTCTGACATGTTTGTGTCGTGAAGATAGTATATTTCTGTATCCATTTTTTGGATACAAACTTATGCTCTTGAAAACCAAAGTAAACAGACTTATTCATTGTATCAATCGAGCAATAGGAGAGACGCCGCTCCCAGGGTTCCACCAACGGTAACTTCTCTTCTTCTCCGACAGATGCATGGTCATCACCATCCATGGCCGATCTCTCTTCTCTTCCGCTCAGCTGGTGTGGTATTTTTTATTTTGCAGACTTCCTCCAGTAGAGACACAGTCGATCTCTTTCTATGGCTCAACCACTACTATCAAATCCAACCTCATTTTTTTCTTTATATAGATCTGCAAACAAAGACATTGCAGATGTATGTTTGCCAATACATAATATGCAAACCATATGCATTTGCCGATAGATATAGACGGTGGGTTGGCATATCAGTGATTTAGTTTTTCTTTTCTTTTTTATTATTTTGTTGATTATGTGCGGAGACGCAGATCAGTGGTTTTCCCTCTATCTTTCATGATCTGGAACTTAGACAACCGACGTTTGCCCAACTCATCTGTAGTCGTTTGTGTGTTTGAGTTGTAGAATAATGGTGTTTGTCTTTTGCAGGGTTTAGATATGGTTTCTATATAATCCTATTTCAGATGTTTGTCGCGTTTGACCAAATTTCAATGCACCAAGCCATCGTTAATTGGTGCACTTAATGTTTGCTCACATAATTCTACCAAACACTAACAATTTTGTATAAGTATTTGCCTCAAATGATACAAACGGCAAGAGTATAAAACAGGTGAACCCAAATTGCATTCATGAACCGGAATGAGTGTATTTATGCACACTACAAATTTGTATTTGCATCGCTTTCAAATGGAGACTTAGGAGGTGTGTCAAGTTAGTCCCCAAACTTCAAAATGTGTCCCTGCAATATCCTAAACTTTCAAATTGTATCTAACAGGTCCCTATCCGTTATAAGTGAAATTATAGAAATACCCATTAGGTGCCATCTAATTTTCTTTATTTGCCGCTTCCACATAAATCAATTCAAGAGCTGAGTAGCTTGAAATGGTAGCGCTTCAGGTGCAGCGACTATAGCGGAGAATTGTTGCTTTCATTAATGTTGAGTTCCTGCAAACTCAATGACTTATTATGTGGATGACAAAAATACACAAACCTTCACTCTTGATTTCTCGACTGAGCTTACCAAGTTATCATATTTCTTTCTTGTCTCCACGTTATGACTTTTGAAAAGCTCGTTAGTGATTAGTAAGGTATGGATAGTCATCAACTCATGTCCCAATGTGCTTGGTCCCATAAATGACCTTAACACTTATATGAAATGGGTAAAATGGTAAAAAAAATATCATAAAGGGTAATTTTGTTATTTTAAAATTATTTAATGTGCACCTATGTCACTGACGATGTTGATTGACAGTCAACTAACAATGGGGACCTATTAGACACAATTTGAAAGTTCTATAGAGACATGTTTTGAAGTTCGGGGACTAACTTGACACAACCCCCAAAGTACAGGGTACTGATCAGGAGCATCATTAATTCACCATTAAAATGTGCATGACGGTGTTGATTGACAATCAACTAACAATAGGGACCAATTAGACACAATTTGAAAATTTATGGTACTTTAGAGACATGTTTTCAAGTTTGGGGACTGACTTGACACAACCCCAAAAAAACACCAAAAATAAGAGTGAGCATCATTAATTCACAATTAAAATTATCTCCTATTTCTCAAATTAACTCATCCAAGCATCTCTCTTCACTAATCATATCATTAACTCTCCACTAATAATTCATGCCACTAATTCTCTCTATTCTCAATTACTCTATTAAATTTTCTAAAATTTATCAAGTGTATTTATATTCTATATCTATATTCATTAGATATATTTACATTTAATTATAATTATTAATAACAATTTAAATTCAATCAAAATACAATTTAAACATAACTAGCTTAATTAAATTAAATTAGTTATTATATACTTTATAATAAAAATTGTCATTTCATTCGAAAATAAAATTATTAATGTTTGAAATTTAAAATTGCATTTAATTACACTTATAACACAATTAAATTCCATTTCAGACTTAAAATCTTGTTACGCTTCCATTTAATTATCAATAAGGTAAATTGCATATTAGTACCATGTACTTTTGGCCTAGTCTCACTTTTGCACTTGCATTTCAAAACGTGTTAATCCAGTATTTGAACTCTCAAAACATCTCAATTTAGTCCAAAATCGTTAACTGTCATTAAGCGGTACACAAAATGACTCAAATAACCTTCAGGTGTCATCTAGTTTTATTTATCAACCATCCAAATGCCTAAATCTCTTAGAAGCTGATAGAGAAAAGCAATTTACCAAAAACTGGTTTGATAAAGCCCACGATCTACCCATGGTTTTTAAAACCAGACCGGACCGGATGGTTGGACTAGAAAAACCAGGACCGGTTCTGTTTTCCCCAAAAACCGGATTTTTCCCCAAAACCGTTGATTTTGGTCAGCGAACCGCTGAACTGGGTAATTAACTATTCGAACGGTTTTGATCATTTTTTATTTTATTTTTATTTTTTGTCAGAATGGGCTGAATGTTCGGTTTGAACGGTCAGACCG